TTTATATTCTATGTAGAATCTACCAAAATTGATGCAAAATTGTTAAATTCCGGGTAGTTTATTCCGTTCACAACAGTAAATCAATTTTATGTCAAGTGTGTACTTGGGCATTTCTTTATTAGTTTTGCATGAAAAAAAACTGGATCTATTAGTGTGCATGTGTCCATTGAATTATGGGAAAAGTTTTCGTATATTCTACAAGTGCATGTGACTTTTCAATTCTAGATGCAAAAGAGATGGATGTTTACGTGTGTCTCCAATTTTAAAATGGTTTGGCCGGTGACTGTTGACTGTTTTGTTTGCCAATTTTATATTTGTATAAACTATGAAGTCTCTACATGGCTGGAATTAAAAAAAAATAATTGTTAATTGGTATGTGTATGAAATTGGATTTAAAAGTTTTGTTATTGCATGAAGACTCATGCTTGAATCCTTAAGTTATGTTTGCGATTTAATTGTATATATTATATCGCTTTTGACAGTTTCATTTGCCAGTTTATTGCTGGCACCTTTTAATCAAAAGGGGTCTATTTGGCTAGTAAGATTTTGTAAAGCATCTTGAATTGTTTTCTATGCAGTGGAGATAAGTAAGAATTTGGTACTAAATCAATTTTTGCCATGAAGTAATTATATGCAAAAAAGTTGGCAGTAATGTTTGAGAATTACCACAGGAAAGTATCATGTTTTCGGTCCTTGAGATCTGGGCGTAATTGATATTATTTTATTACTGTCCATAATATTTTTTAATGTCTAGGAATTCATTATACACGAATTTCCATATTGTCTTTATGTTCCTAACCGAAAAATTGGAAATTAATGTTTATGTTTATTGTCTTTTTGTTTAATTGAAATAAAGATTCATTAAATATATGCAATTCATGTTGGAAATTAATTTCTGACCATATGATGACCCATTGTATATTTTGTAACTGTCATGTGAAGAAATGTTTGGAATAATGTGACCTTTCATTTTAAATGCAATGACAACAATTTTGTGGTGACTTTTGATTGGAAAGCATGAATTGGCGAATTGGTATATGACAGTTTTATTTGGTGCTAAATTCCTTAAAGAATTGTATCGCTAATTTTTCATTGGAATAAAATACAAAAGTGGATATGGAATGTGACATTATAATATCATTTGTATAAACGTGAATTCCAAATAGTGAATCCATACAAGAGTTTGGATTTCGGAGACTTTTTTGTCAGTATACACAAAACCAGTATATGCATATACAGTACGATGCAAATACGGTAAGCAGTAAATACGGTAAGTTACATATATGGTAAGCAGCAAATACGGTAAGCCGCATATACAGTAAACGGCATATACGGTAAGCCGCATATATGGTATGTGTCAATCCGATAAGTGACATATACGGTATAAAATTGTAAATCCGGTATATTTCTATGGATTTTGGTTTGAAAATTATACAAACCTTGATTAATGATGATAGTCTCAATTAATTCTATGAAATTAAATGACATGATTTGTGCAAAATCATAATTGCATAAGTGTTGTAAAATTTGTTTCGCAAGTGTACGACTCATAACAAGTAATAGTGGACCTAAGAGTTCGGATTGTCGATCCCACAAGGACTATTTTCTAGCACTTAATTTAATTTTTCTTTAACTACTATTTGACTAAAACAAATTAAAGGTTGTAAAATCTGGGTTTTAATCTAAATTCTAGAAAATAAATGAATGTTCACACAATTGGTTGGAGAATCAAATAATGAATGGATGTTAGGGTAGAATAACTTCACCAATTGATCACCTTTACATCTCAAATTAAAACTCAATTCTAATGTAGTGATCGGTCGAATTCTCCTATTGTATTCAATTTACCCCTCTCGAGTTCTCATTGAACCTATTCAACTAATTAAATTGCATATCTCTATGCAAATTCAATTTAGTTAAACGAGTTCTATGTCTTGGAATTCAATTATGACCGCAATAAATGGTATAGGTATCTCTACTTATTATATCAATGTACTGGATTTTACTACATGGTGTAAATCCTAAACTCATACCTCTATTTGAAAAGAATTCACAAAAATTATCAAATTATTGATCAGATAATTTAATGCATTCAACTCATAGCAAAATCAACACATGGAAGAATTAAAAATTGAAAGTCTTAATAAGAGAATGTAAAAGATCCAAATTGGTTACATTATTCCTCCTAACAATGAATTTAGTTACTCATAATATAAGAGTATCTCTACTCGTTATACCAATGTACTGAATTTTACTACATGGTGTAAATCCTAAACTCATATCTCTATTTGTAAAGAATTCACAACAATCATCAAATTATTGATCAGGTAATTTAATGCATTCAACTCATAGCAAAATCAACACATGGAAGAATGAAAAACTGAAAGTCTTAATAAGAGAATGTAAAAGATCCCAATTGGTTACATTATTCCTCCTAACAATGAATTTAGCTATTCATAATACAAGAAAAAATGTAGGAATTTGTCTTAGAATCATCACCGAGTTTGTAATAAAGATGTAGAAGAAAAAGTAGAATTCTTACACCAAGATCTCATTCCTCTTCCAATGAATGCTTCTAATCTTCAATTGCTTGGTGTTAATCTTCTTGAATTTCTCTTTTGAATCTCCCTTCTTGTTGTCTTCTCTCCAGTATGTCAAGAACCCTTCAAAAGTATGAGGAAAATGTATTTATAGGTGCTCCTCCGTTTTATGTAGAAGTAGGATTTTAATGAATTTAAAAACGGCCCAAAAAAATGCGCCCTAAATCTTCAATCACAGCGCCTATAAAACAGCGCTTAAGCACTGGTTATAGCGCCTGGGCGCTATGTCTTCAGCGCCTAGGTGCTATGGTAGCGCCTGGGTGCTATGGTTGCGGCGTTGCCTCTAGAGTCCAAATTTCATCTTTTTTCAGTTTCGTAGCGCCTAGGCGCTAGGAATGCAGCGCCTAAGCGCTGTTTTTCTGCCCCAATTCCGTGTTTTTTGTCTCTTCATCCACTTTAAACTTCTTTTCACATCGCTTTTCCTAATTTTCAAAACAACACTAACAAATACATAAAAAACGTTCTATACTCACAAGATCTAGCAAAAATCAAGCTAAAATTGTGCAAAAATCATGAGTGTAACAAACTCATCAAATACCCCCAAATTTAACCATTTGCTAGTCCTCGAGCAAACACCAAAACCCATAAAAATAATTAATGGACATACAAGCACAACTAAGACAAACAAAATCACTTAAAATAAATTTCGCTAGATAGCTTGCCTTCATGTCTGAGGATTAAAAACATAACTTCGATTCCATGAACCACTTCAAAGCTATAATGCAAAAGTTAAATTCTCACATATTCAATGCAAAACGGGTGTGTGTGTGTGTGGAGAGTCAAGTGCAACGCTGTACAATAATAAGTTGACCCAATTCCCGACCTTAGAAGTCAAATTTTACCTTACTTTGCTCGTGGAATTCACACACCCCAAACTTATTTTTCTTTTCTCTTTCCAAGAGTATAACCTAAGGTAAAATTTTCAATACTAATTTTTTACAGCACTCAAGTTTGGTTAGATTTTACTGATTGTAGTTCCACATGTCAACAAATGAGGATTCTCCTTATTCTTAACTGCTTCAATCTCTAGGAATCAACCAATTACTAACCCCTTATCAAAGGTCTAATCCTCTAAAACAAGTGTTCGGAGTTTAATCAAGGTATTTGATATCTATTTTTTTCTCTTTTTTTTTCATATATATCTTTATTCTTTAATTACTCTTTGTATGGACGTCTCTCCCTTAAACTTTCTAAATGACCCCTGTAGCGAGTTTTAGGCCGATGACTCCCAAATCGGATAACTTTAGGGCACCAGGTTTTAAACCCTTACAGGCTTAATCACTCGAGTCATAAAGGCTACGAAGAGACGATTCACAATGAGATTATCAAAGTTGTCCTCATTGAGATCTTTTTTTTGTGCGGTGATTAGTGCAATGCCCTTTATTAAACACATATCCTCGAAAATCGACCTCTAACTTAGGATTTTCACCCAATTTTCATCCTATTGGTCTCAGACAATCCACACAAAAATTAACACACACGAAATCCACATTTATCTCCAAGTTTCCCTACAACAGTGCAATCATCCAAACGTCCTAAGTTTAAGGATAGTGTGATGTTTAATGGTTGTTTGAGTTTAGTATCTAAGTTCTCTATTTCAACTTATAAACGTGAATCAACCTTCTCATGCACAACGCTACAATCAACTCACGTGCAAAAAATAATTTTCGTTTTACATGAATAAGCAAAAATCTAACTCAAACACATAACTCGTCCACAATTCATAAATCAATGCATGTTCTCAATTACACATATCAATACCAGCAAGGTTATCTAACACACACAAGCATGCAAAAATACGAAATGAAATTTATTTTTTTGGAATAAAAACACAAACACATAAATAAGCAAATCACACATAAGCATTCGAGAAACTCAACAATGTAAGCGAATGATGTCACTCCCCCAAATTTAACTGAAACATTGTCCTCAATGTGAAATTTAAAGGAAAAGGAGGAGGATTTCCCTGAAATGTCAATATTGCCTATGATGTTGTGGTGTCTTGGTGTTGCATTTGATGGACTCTTCTTCTATATTTTCTCCCAAACTTGAGATTTGTCCCATTTTCTCCATGTCCATGTTGGTTTGAGTGTTCCGCGACATCATGTACCTGAAAAATTAAATTTGGAAAGTTAAACTCATGGAACAAGGATTACTTAGCTCAAACATCTAATAACCAACTTAATTACTCCAAGACCTATGGGTAGAAGGTGTATGGGTGATGATTCCTAAATAAACTATAAATTAAACTATCTTAGAACTTTGAAAATAAAATAAAAGCTTGGGTTGCCTCCCAAGAAGCGCTTCTTTTAAATCATTAGCTTGACTTGTGCCGCTAATTTATCATGGTGGCTCAAACCAAGTTATTCCATCATTGCACTTTGTGCAATTTTCATTGATTCAGTCCTTTTTTGCTCTCCAAATTTTGATTTGTCCATTCTTATCTCTACCAAGAAGTTCTCCAAAATTTGTTTTTTTATTCTGACAGGTTCGTTGATCAGGTGGCTCTTCTTCATCAATTCTATAGCAATCATTTTTATTGGGAGGTTTCTCATATTGGATGTAAATATTGAATATCTCCTGCTTGTCCTCCACCCTCAAGATTAGTTCTCCCTTCTCCATGTCAATAAGGGTTTGTCCCGTTGCTAAGAATGGTTGACCCAATATAATTGGAATGTCTCGATCTTCTGGTATGTTTAATACAATGAAATCCACAGGAAATATTAAATTTCCTACTCTTACGAGTATATCCTCAACTTTGCCACGTGGCCTTGCGATTATTCTATCAGCGAGTTGTAGCGTTATTGATGTTGAGTTGACTTCATCTAGTCCCAATTTCTTGTAAGCAGAATACGACATTAGATTGATACTATCACCAGTGTCACACAATGCATTAGTTGAATAGGAATTTCCAATTGAAACTGGTAAAGTAAAACTCTCTGGATCCTTCAATTTAGGAGGCAATTTTCTTTGGACTTTTGCACTACTTTCCTCAGTTAATGCCACAGTTTCAAACTCCGGAAGTTTCTTTTCTTTGTCAACATTTCTTTCAAAAATTTCTTATAGCTTAGGATTTGCAGTGTCACATCTGTGAACGGAACATTGATCTGGAGCTTCTTGAGAACATCGAGAAATTTTTCATAGTTTGTGTCTTGTTTGTTCTTCTTGAGCTTTTGAGGAAGGGGAATGGGAGGCATGTAAGATTTGTCTAGACTTGGTGCTTTGACCGCTGATGTTTTTGTACTTTCTCCATTTTCAGTTGTGTTTGGTACAGATTTTTCTACCCTTGTAGCTTCATCAATCACTTCTTAGTCATCTTTTCTTTTGGGTCTCTCTGTAGTGATCTCTGGGGCTTGTACCTCGCTCTTTGTATTTATGACATGAATATTTTGCTCTATCGACTTCTTTCGAAGTCTTTGGGAAAATGGAAGTGGAGGTACATATGCTTTAACTTTTAAGGAAGCCCTGGGTGGATCGTTCTCCACTACTTTAATTGCCATCAACTGTTCCTTAGGATTTATCATTGTATTGCCTGGCAATATCCCTTGTGGACGCTCTGCAAGTTGTTGTGCTATCTGACCAATTTGTGTCTCCAGTTTCTTGATGGATGCCTGCTGATTTTGAAAGTTCGTGTCAATTTATTAGAACACCTTGTCCGTTTTCTGCACATATTGTTAAAACATCTCCCCCAAACTTGGTATTCTTTCTTGCTGAAAATTGTTACCATATGAGTTGAAATTACGGGTGCTATTTTGAATAAAGTTTACTTGTTCCTCTGAAGAAGTGAGCATCATGCAGCTCTCTATAGCGTGATTTCTCCCACAATTCTTACATACTAAACTGGCCATCATTGCATTTGCTCCATGTGTTCGCAATTTTACAAGTAACTCTACCTGTTTTGTTAAAGCCGCTATATGTGCATTGGTAGATGTTGTGCTGTCTAATTCACACATTCTTGCTGCCTTTGGTGGTACCACTCTTTCTGATGCAAACATTGAATGTGTGGCGGCAATTAACTCAAATAGGTCCATGGTTTGTTGCACTGATTTCCCTATGATTGATCCTCCAGTAGAGGCATCAACTTGAGATTTTGACAATGGTGTAAGTCCGGTGTAGAAGTAGTGCACTTGGTTTCCTTGAGTGATTCCATGGTTTGGACATTTTCTCATCAGCTCATTAAATCTATTCCATACCTTGTGATAGCTTTCTCTCTCTTTCTGTTGAAAAGTTTGAATTTCCAATCTAATTTTAGCTACTCTGGCTAGTGGAAAGAATTTGTTGCAGAATTTCCTGATCAGTTCTTCCCATGTAGTAATACTGGCATGAGGCTCCTCGTCTAACCACTCCAATGCAGTATCTCTCAATGTAAATGGAAATAGTCGTAATTTAATAGCATCTTCATTGACCCCCGGAGCATGGAAGTTCTGACAATTTCTAAGAAATCTGGAGATATGTGTGTTCGAATTCTCATGAGTTAGCCCGTAGAATTGCAGAGTGTTGCTTATCAAGTTAATACAATCTGACCTGATCTGAAAGTTATTCAACCCAAAATTTGGATACACAATACTGGAGCGCATGGGTGCTGCTATAGGTGTCAGAAACATTGATACTAGCAAATCACCTTCATTTATTTCTCCTCGCTTATGTTGCTGTTCCGGTGTGCCACCACTCTTGCAGCCATTTGCCCAATCGGCTGAATAGGGATGTGGATTTGTTGATTATCAACCATTTGATGTTGCTGTTTTTGTTTGTGTTCTTTGCGTCTTCATCTGAAGGTACGTTCTATCTCCGAATTAAACGATTCAAGATCGTAGCCTTGGGCACGGAGCATACAATGAACACAATTTTCTGTAAATAAAAGAAAAATAAATAAATCAAATAACTGTTAAAATAAAAATTAATTGAGACTAGAAGAAATAATCCGGGGCAACGACGCCAAAAACTTGTTGTAAAATTTGTTTCGCAAGTGTACGACCTATAACAAGTAATAGTGGACCTAAGAGTCCGGATTGTCGATCCCACAAGGACTATTTTCTAGCACTTAATTCAATTTTTCTTTAACTACTATTTGACCAAAACAAATTAAAGTTTGTAAAATCTGGGTTTTAATCTAAATTCTAGAAAATAAATGAATGTTCACACAATTGGTTGGAGAATCAAATAGTGAATGGATGTTAGGGTAGAATAACTTCACCAATTGATCACATTTACATCTCAAATTAAAACTCAATTCTAATGTATTGCTCGGTCGAATACTCCTATTGTATTCAATTTACCCCTCTCGAATTCTCATTGAGCTTATTCAACTAATTAAATTTCATATCTCTATACAAATTCAACTTAGTTAAACGAGTTCTATGTCTTAGAAATTCAATTATGACCGCAATAAATGGTATATGTATCTCCACTCGTTATACTAATGTACTGAATTTTACTACATGGTGTAAATCCTAAACTCATGTCTCTATTTGTAAAGAATTCACAAAAATCATCAAGTTATTGATCATATAATTTAATGCATTCAACTCATAGCAAAATCAACACATGGAAGAATTAAAAATTGAAAGTCTTAATAAGAGAATGTAAAAGATCTCAATTGGTTACATTATTCCTCCTAACAATGAATTTAGCTACTCATAATACAAGAAGAAATGTAGGAATTTGTCTTAGAATACATCACCGAGTTTGTAATAAAGATGTAGAAGAAAAAGTAGAATTCTTGCACCAAGATCTCATTCCTCTTCCAATGAATGCTTCTAATCTTCAATTATTTGGTGTTAATCTTCTTGAATTTCTCTTTTGAATCTCCCTTCTTGTTGTCTTCTCTCCAATATGTCAAGAACCCTTCAAAAGTATAAGGAAGGTGTATTTATAGGTGCCCCTCCGTTTTATGTAGAAGTAGGATTTTTATGGATTTAAAAATGGCCCAAAAAAACGCTTCCTAGATCTTCAATCGAAGCGCCTGGGCGCTATGTCTTCAGCGCCTAGGCGCTATGGTTGCGACGCCTAGACGCTACCTCTCGGGTCCAAATTTCATCTTTTTTTAGTTTCATAGCGCCTAGGCGCTATGAATGCAACGCCTAAGCGCCGTCTTTCTACCACAATTCCGTATTTTTGGTCTCTTCGTCCACTTTAATACTTCTTTTCACATCGTTTTTCCTAATCTTTAAAACAACACTAACAAACACATAAAAAATATTCTATATTCACAAGATCTAGCAAAAATCAAGCTAAAATTGTGCAAAAATCATAAGTGTAACAAACTCATCAATAAGAGTATGACAGAATGTGGTTTTGTCCTAATTATTTTAAAGTGGAAATTGTTTGCCCAATTATTGGGATATGAAAATATTTTATAAAGCACGAATAGTGTCTATAGTTGACGGTGGTGCCGGATATCTTTGAAAATAATGATTGTAAAATGACATTCATTTGTAAAGGATAAAAACTAAGCAAAAATTGTGAAGAATATTATGAAATATTTTAGGATTAATTCCAATAGGTATGCCTTTTTGTAATGTTGTGACTTTGAAAGCACAACTTGTCAGTCTATGATTGATGTGAATAATATTATTTGTGAAAAATCACAAATGTGAAAGTTTCACATGGTTGAAGATGCTTATTCTTCTTCATTGTTGAATTTGACTTCAATAGTGGAACCAATTAAGTTGGTTTATGATGACCTTAAAGATGAAATTAATTTAATTTGGATGATCAAATTAATATGGTTGATTGAAGTACAATTTCGAATGGAAAATGGGTTTTCATTCATGTGAAGCAACGACCACTATTTTGAAGTATTTAGACTTTCACCAAACATCCGATACGGATATTATCTAAGTGATAAATGGATTGAACTATGAAAGAGTTGATAAACTCTAAATTCAAGAATAATCCAAAAATGTGGGGGTTATCATGAATGCTTGAAAACTTATGTAAAAAAGTTCAAGTCGTGTGGGTACAACGCTACTACTTGGATATATAACCCTAAATTAGGAATTGTGGGGATAACTTAGTTTAAAATTACACTTTTCTGTACCTCTCAAGAAAATGGAAGAGACACTATATGAGGTATGAAAATGTCATCCTCCTTCCTATCAATACTTAAAAGTGTGGGGGTGTTTGACAAAGGTTGAGGTTCCTAAACCCAAATAAATAAAGATAGGTTCCAATACGATTGATTGCATATTTATTGGATACGTCAATAATAGTAATGCATATCATTTCCTCGTACACAAATCGAATGTACACTAGGGTACCATAATTGAGTCAAGGAATGTGATACTCTTTGAGAATGTGTTTCCTTGCAAAGATAAGAAAAATGTAAGTTGAATAACAGAACATATGAAATTACAAATGGGTCTTCAAATGAGGAGGTACCAAGGCGTAGTAAGAGGGCTAGAACGTCCACTTCATTTGGCCTGAATTTTCTAACATATATGGCAGAAAATGACCCCAAAGACTTCTGAAGAATCAATATCCATTCTGGAAGCACCGCATTGGAAGGAAACTATCAATAGTGAGATAGATTCCATAATGTAAATTCATTCATACATGGGAATAAGCCTTTGGGTGTAAATGAATTAAAATTTGATGGATCCATTGGCAAATATAAGGTTAAATTGGTTGCCAAAGGATATAAGCAAGAAGAATGATTTGACTTTTTTTACCTACTCACCCATTATTAGAATCACTTCGATAATGTTACTAATTGCAATTGGGACAATACATAACCTTAAGATTCACCAAATGGATGTAAAAACGGGGATTCCTAAATGGTCAGTTAAAAAAAGAGATATACATGGAGCAACCTGAAGGCGTCTCCAAGTGAAAGCCATAAAGTTTGTAATCTTGTTCAGTCCTTATATAGATTGAAACAAGCTCCCGGCACTAAAAGTTTGGCAAAACGATATTGTCAAACGAGCTCAAAATAAATGAATGTGACAAGTGTGTATACGTAAAAAATACACCAGATGCCCATGTGATTGTGTGTATATATGTAGACAATATGTTGGTGATGGGCAATCGTCACGAAGTGGTGCTAAACGCCAAGAAAATACTTACTAAAAATTATCACATGAAAGACTTGGGTGTGGTAGATGTAATACTAGAAATAAAAATCTCTAGAATATCGAAAGGAATTGTACTTTTCCAATCTCATTTGTTGAGAAAATATTTAAAAAGTTTGAAGTATTGACACAAGTCTACACTTGGTCAAAATAAGGGTGAAAGCGTGTCACAACTAAGATATTTACAAGTAATTAGCATTCAAATGTATATTACGAAATGCACTCGACCAGATAATGCTTTTGCTGTGTATAAACTTAGTATATGCACAAGTAATCCAGGCCATGATTATTGGGTGGTATTAACAGGGGTCCATGGGTATTTGAAATATACTATGACCTATGGATTACATTTCACAAGATATCATACGGTATTGAAAGGATATTGTGATGTAATGACATACACTAAGTCTAAAGTGGATGAAATGGGATGAAAGTCGATCATGACGGTTGTTTGGATATACAAGAACAATTGAAATATTTGAGAATATTCATAAAGTTCGAATGCATTGCAATGCTTTAATGATGATATTGAATACCCATGTATGAAATCCACTAGTATTATGATTGACTAGTGTAACAATTTGTTAGAAATCCTCCAACATTGTTGTTTGGAATTGATAAAGCTTTAGATAAAGCTAATGAGAGGCATGTAGCTTCACAAGAGGATTTCTTAGTGGTGAAAATGTGTATCTATCAAATGAATCGATTGTTGGCTAGCAAAATTTGATAAGATACTAAGTCACATGTAATGGTAAGTCTAGACAACATAATACCATAAGCAGTTGATCTCATTGGTGTAAACTTGTGGATCTATTTATATATGTTTACTAAAAGATCAAGTATACTGCATATCGAAGGAAATGAGATTAAGCCTACTAAATAAGAGTCCTTATGATGGTAACCCTACCATGTTGATTGGAGATCCCAAAATCTTGGTTTTGAGGGACAACTAAGTTATGAGGATTCCACGAAGCACTTAGGAAACTAATTTCCTAACTCATTCCTATGATACCAAAGTATTTTCTGCAGAGTGGTTGGAGGTTAAGATAAACTTTTAATGATTTCTATATCTTGATTAAGTCAAGTGGAGTAGGACATAATACTCTTAATAGGAAATCACCTATGTAAGTGTGAAGTGTGGCCACTTCAATGAGAATTATTTAAGGTTTGACTTCTCTAAACACTTAGAGAACCAAGATAGGTTAAGGACAAAGTGTCCAATACTTGCCTCGACCAAAAATCCATCATTTGCATCTTCTTTCTTCATTTTCTGATTCCTTTTATTATGACTTGATTTCAGAAAATGATTAACGCTATTTATATGTTTATCCTGCAAGGTTTGATCCAAAAAATTACTTGCTTTTGATCATGAGTTGAAAGGGAAGAATCCATATTCAGGTATTCGGATTCGATAAATTCTTATTTTGTCTTCTCAAATCCTATCTCGGTAAGTCGAAATTATATTTCAATTTCACGCAAACTAACAGTATGTTTTTATGAATATATTATGCACAATAATCGATGTAATTTTCCAACATTAAGTCTCCAGATGAGTCACCGGTTCGATTATCAGTTTCCTCTGATTATATTTCACTCACTCATGTCTTCCACTGGAAAAGAAAAAAAGCTCCGTAGGCCTCTATTTGTAATGAAGATGGTTTTATTGATTAGGGTTTTGTGTCCATGTGGAAACTCAAAGACTTGGTGAAGAAATAGCAGAAACTTTGTTGCAAATAGAGGAAAAAGAGGGAGGCTTTTGAAGCCTCCCCCGACATCGATGAAGGCAGTCTTTAACAGACGATATATTTAGATTTAGTTTTGGATGGTGTTTTTGGCCGTGGAATGGTGGTGGTTTTGGGCAGTGACTAAAAACAAGGAATGATAGTGGATTTGGAAAGTGGGGTGAAGAAGGAGATGAATAGTTTTTTCTTTTTCTTTTTATTTTGTTTTAATTATTTATTTTGTCCTTATTTGAGCCACATTATTTTTCTTAAAATGTATTTTTGAATAGTGTATTGATGGGAAATGTGTGATTAAAAAATAAAGAAATGTTTTGAATTTACGTGTAATATTATTTTATTAAAGAATGTGTTGTTAAAATGATATCAAATCACTGTTTAAAAATATATATTTATGAAAAAATATGGCTTAAACATGGCCTTTAATTGTTTTATAGGGTTAAATAAAAAAATTACTCTTCTATTCTTTTAAAATGGTCAAATTGGTCAAAATTCAATTTTATTGATCAACTAATGGTTATAGATCGTTGCAATTTTCCCAAACTTTTATAGAGTTTTGAATAGTGTTAATCCACCTAGACTAGATTAAATAAACCATAAATTTTTCATAGAACATTGTTTCTGCTTCTTTTGTACATATAATAGATACAACAAAAGTTCCCATTGATTCTAGAAATTTTGATCCCTGGCTCAAGTCATCCTCCCTTTGGTCTTAATCAGGATTGGGAACATTGGAATTTCTTCACATAAGTCTCTTAGAAAATGCTATATTCATCTGGAAAAAGAGGGGGGAGAATGACCAAAAAAAAAAAAAAGGTTCTAAAATGCAAAATCCAGCTCTGAATTCTTCATTCCTTCAGAACACATTTCTTGGCACCGGCATTCATGGCTGCAGAACGCTTTCTCACCCCTGCAACAAGGATAAAGTAAATATATAGATTCATGAGTCAACTACATAAATCCTTTCCCGCACTCACTTGACAGATTTGTACTAGAAGATCGACGATATCAAATCATTGACCTGGTCATCATTCTTTCCACAGAAAAAGCCTTAAGATCTTGGCTGGAAATGAGCAGATTTCCAGTAGGCCACAGACATTAGTCTTAAGTTTGAGAAGCATTTTCCAATGATATTATTAGCAGTCTAACCTCACATCTTTTTTGTTACCGCGATCCATTTATCACTACATCTACCGAAAAGGTTCGAGCATACCTTTTTCCTACTTCATTCGGTTCAATAATTCAAAACTACTAGATCCTTAGAACAATTCAATTTGTTAAATATTTTCCATATATGACTTCAAGCTCTTCCATAACTAATATATTGGTATGTTACTTTATAGTAAACGCATGTCTAGTATGCAATACGAGAAACGAGTGGACAATATGTTTAAATATTTTTCTTCTTTACTATCATCTTCTGCGATAAAAAGATAAAATCAAACTTTAAAATGGGACGAAAATTGTACTAACCTGTACATGTAAGTGTCTTTGTCTGGTCCAAGACTGACTTTGCAAGTATAACAGAAACTAAGGAAATCCATTGACGGAGAGTGTGAACAATTTCTTGAAAACACATTTTTTGTTTTATTTTCAGACAATTTAACACCACCACAGCAGCTTTCGATGATAGAGTTATCAAATATATGAGTGGTTTTTGGATTAGGCCCACGAGTGATTACACAAGTATAGTCCTCAGAAAGTTCCATTTCTTCGAATGAAAGTTGCTTAGTAAAAGCCTTTTGGGGTGAATTATTGGCCTCAATGCCTGAATTTGGACTTGAAAATGAAGAATTTCGAGTCTTGATTCCAAAATCCACTGGAGATTTTGGCGATTCAGCTGCAGAATGTGGGGGAGGTGGACCTAAAACTGGAGAATATTGCCTCTTGATTCGAAATCCAGTTACAGATTTAGGCGATTCAGCAGGAGAAGGTAGCGAGAACGGGCATAAAACTGGAGCTTTGATTCCGAAATCAGCTGGAGAAGTGAGGGATTCAGATGGAGAAGGTGCTGAGGGATGAATATGATGATCAGAAGGAATTTTTACATGAAGGTTTGTTCCAAACATAATCATTCTGCTAATTGGCTTAGAAACATCTTCATCATTTTCTTGATAATTGATGGAGTCAATTAGGGCAACCCCAATCCCCTCTAACTTCAATTTATTGCTGATTTCAGGAATAAAATTTGTGGGTTTTGACAGGTTTTTGTCATAACCAAATGGGTTGTGAAAACTTGATGAAATTTGGGAATCAAGAATTGATTTTGGGCTGATTAAACTTTCTGAATCAAACATAGTTTTTGTAGAAAATCCATTGAAGAATCTTGGAGGACCAATGAGACCTTGTTTGCTGCTCACTGCTTTAGATCTATTCCTCAACATTTCCACTCAAAGTTAAACCAAAGATTTGAAACAAGAAACTAAGAATTCAGGAATTCAATTATTGAGTCTCACCTGAGACTATTAAAAGGGTTCCACTTAACCAACCTCAAAAGAATAGACAAAAGTTTGCTTTCTCCTCAAAATTAGAAATTTATCATAAAACCCACAAGGAAAAAGAAAAAGCCCCAAACTTCAGAAAGTCTGCTAAATCTCTTTAGTCTCCATGCTTTATAATTGATTTTAATAGCGAAATAATTAAAAAAAAAAAAAAAACAATTGATCCTTTATTTTTCGGTCTCTTTCGTCCCTCGACAAAAAACAAAAGTTTTTAAGGTACATCAAATTCAAGTGGGCAGCCATTACTGTAACTCACTCACGTCCTCACTTTATATATTTTGACACGGGAAAAATGGACATCAAATTCTATGAAAAAACTAAAAAGAGATTGATTGATTATTCTCTTTTCTTGTTAATCGCACAATAACCCAACTGAAAAAAAAAAAAAATGGTTTCAAAGTTATAGGAAGATTAGTGTTATTGATTATGGCTTCCTCGCCTACTTAAACATGAGATTTTGGATTCTGCATGATCAAAATTGTAAATATGAATGTCAAAATTGCATGCAATTATTGATTGAATTGGAGATGAGGGATTTTGATACGTTTGCTTTCTAACTTTAAATTATGTTAAAGTTGTGTTCGATTTTATGTAGACATTAACATTTTTAATAATGTAAGGAACATATTCATAAATTTAAATAACCAAATCATTGAGAATAATTTATACTTTATTTTTCTCTTAAACTCTAATCAATTAAAATATGTGTTTACTTAAAACTTTATTTATTTATTTACAAATAAACTTAATTAAAATAGCATTTTTTTCTAGACTTTTAGAAGCCACTTTCTATTTTAGATTTTTACAAGAGTTTGTTTGTGAATGATTTTTTGAAAATCATATTTATCCAAAATTAATTTTTAATTACTCATTATATGAGATTTATAATTTTTTTTAACCACACATTTAAAAAATATTATTTTGTCATTCAACAAATCTCTATTTTTCTCTTAAACTCTAATCAATTAAAATATGTGTTTACTTAAAACTTTATTTATTTATTTACAAATAAACTTAATTAAAATACCATTTTTTCTAGACTTTTAGAAGCCACTTTCTATTTTAGATTTTTACAAGAGTTTGTTTGTGAATGATTTTTTGAAAATCATATTTATCCAAAATTAATTTTGATTACTCAGTATATGAGATTTATAATTTTTTTTAACCACACATTTAAAAAATATTATTTTGTCATTCAACAAATCTCTCTCAAACATGCATAATGTTACTTTTTTAGAGGCTTAGGTGTAATAACTCCTTATTAAAATTAGGATTCTAATGGGTGTACAGGGTCGATTCTACAGGGATTTTAAAAAATTACCCCAAAAATTTCCACCCCAATATTTGTAGAGGAACCCCTACTTGGTGACCAAACACGGTCAATTAAAAGTAAGAGCCTATTTGGGACTGATTTTTTTATCATTATTTCACTATTTTACCTTTCATATTTAAATTTTTCTTTCATAGATGAACCTCACTTTTCTCCTAACGATCAAAAAATCAATTCTTAAAATTACTCCCCAACAATTCCTAAGTTAAAAGCAAAAGGAAATTGGCTTTTCCAATTATTAGTGTCCTCCTTTAGCACAAGAAAGGTATATGATATCGATGAAACTGTCAAGGGCCCCACTTTTGTGGAGACCATCAGGCGTGCCCTAATCATAAATTGATTTGACATCCAAAAACATCTCCATCACCTTATCTGGGCCTAGTCCTGGCCCACCCGTACTTTTGGCCCACTTCCATTTGAGGCTCATGGTGCTTTTTTCCTAGCTTTTTAGTGGAACTACTATTGCAAATTCCCCTTTTCTTTCTTATTTTCTCAAGCTTTTCCCCCTTCCCTTTTTTTTTTTTTGCAATATTTTCTTAAGGTTTTCTACTTGCCCAAGGAAGGAAATTATAGTTTGACCCTCCCAAATGTCCTTCAATTTGAGCATAATTTCTTAGGAAAATCCGTAGAGATTTTTTGGATTATAAAACTAACTTCACAGTGCTCATGCCGTGCTACAAAATCACACTTGAATTTATATTGTTAAATTTGAGAATAAACAAATTTTTACAGAAATATGAATAGAGATAAAATGACTGAAGAAGAACTGTATAACATTGTTAAACATTATTTTGAAAAGAGAAATGTGAAAACAATTTGTCATATTATAGGGCAAGTCAATATGTGAATTCTCTGATTTACAAACTATGTACCTTTTGTAGATAAACCTCAAGTCAATTTTTGTGATGTACCCAAGACAATGATGCTTACCTAAACCCACATGCCAATATCGTATTGTAACAATTACATCTCATATATTATTATCTCATAAGCTTATAATTATGTATATTAGTTCGTTACAAGGTGATTTTTAAAGTGAACTATATTCAACATGGTTGTTCTGACCATTCAGTTGAGAGGGACAGATTGGTCTCGATCTTCTATTTCTTTGCTATCGTGCTATTATTTAAGGGTTCTTCAATTTGTCAAATAACAATACCACAAGTGATTCACAATTTGCAACCTTTCGGGTTGATTGGATCTTTAATTTGTCATAGTGACAATGGTCTTCTCAATGGTAAGTAAACTAGACAAATCATCAAGCACTTAAAAAAAGGAAATATTAGAGCTTAACTATAGATGTTTGATTATATTCAGAGCATACGTTCATTATTGATATTTCAATCAAGTTTAAGCATGGTCAAGTAAATTTCGATATAATTTGTGAACTTAATCATCAAACCCACAAACATGTTACACAAATTCTTAAATAATTCAAAATATCAACATACTAGTCATTACAACATTGGGAACTATTATTCAAAGGACTTGATTGCGAAAAATTTAAAAATATGGGGGCTCATGAGCACCAATCATTTTCTGGAATTCAATGCCTCTCAACACCCTATGTGATCAATCAGTCTCCATAAAAAGTAGGGGTTGTCTCAATAGTCATCAATATTCAAACAAAGTAGGTCCCACTTCCCCGTCCTTTAATGATACGTGGCATGATATAATTGGCAAGTTGTTTTAAGGGGACCATAGAACTGTCATTTACTAAATTTTATAACGTATTTATCTTTCAATATTATTGAACAAAATATATATACTTTATATTTTTTTTACTTTTTCACCCTTATTTTTACCTTTCATTACGTAAAAGATCATTTTCATCTAGTTTCTCAATAAAAAAAAATATAATGATAAATATACCCCCTACTTAAATTTAAAAAAAAAAAAATTAAAGAACAAATTACAATTATATTTCCAAAATTTTAAAAAAAAACTACAAATGAATCCAAAAAAATTAATCAGATAGTAATTAGCACGAAACATCCATACCTTTCAATATTATTGTGCAAAAAATTCATACTTTTTTTTTTAATTTTCACCCTTATTTTCAAATTTCATTATGGAAATCATTATTTTCATCCAATTTTTTAATTAAAAGTTGTAAAATGTTGAATATACCCTCCAATTTAGATAAAACAAAAATAAAGATAAATTGCAACTTTACTCTTAAAATTTTTTAAAAAGTACGAATAAATAATTAAAATTATTTTGAAGTAATTAAATACATATTGAAAAAAGAAAAGTAATGTAATATTAAAATAATGAAATTATAGTAATGATGGAATCGTCCAAAAAAATTATTCTTACTTGATGTGATATTTAATATATTATAGATATAGGTCATGTAGACCCGGTCCTTGGCCCAAAATAGTCCAAGAACGCTTGGGCCATAAGGAATATGGACTCGGCCCACTCTATATATAATCTCATCCAAGTTGACTATTGAATTTAATTGTAACCAAAGTTACCGTTGATAAGATTATTTTATTTTACCTTATTTTTTCCTTCTTTAAAAAAAAATAATTAAAAAAAATCGAAAATGACCGAACAACTTGTTTCTGTACTGTTCATGGTGTGCCTTCTGTTCGCCGAAACAATGAACAACGGAAGCCACCAAAGAAGAATTCAGGGAATGGCTACACCTGCCATGACGAGGGGTGTTCCGGGGCGGCAAAGGCTATACTTTCTGTGAGATGATGTGCGATGCAAATTGTCGAAGATCAGTTTTAACTTTTAAGACAATAAAACATGCATATTTGCATATTTCATTTAAAAGCTTTAGTTAACGACTGAATTCGTCATGCTACAAGACGTGTACATAATTTTCATAAACAGATGGTGCAAGACATAAATATTTTTTCCACCGAATATGATAATATTTGATATTAGAGTAGATTAAGTTCTCACATCCAATAATTACATTTATGAGCACGAGAGTAGAATCGACAAAATTTTAACTTCTTTTTTCTTCTTTAATATTGTCTAATATGCATTACCAAATTACCATTTCTCTCTAAGCTGACGCATAAGAAATCCTGCTCGAGGAGCAACCAGATCTTCATCACTTGGCAGCCCTTTCTGCGGCAAGTTTTTCGATGAGTTTCCATGTGGCTTCACGCTTTTCCTTGATCGCATCTTCCTTTGATTCATCTTCCCGAAACTTCAGCAAGCACGCCTTAAATAGATCAGGGTCGAGATCATAGAAAAACTTACGAATAGTCAATGTCAAACCATGCACGGCCTGATTCCAATGGTGCCTATAATTTCTCTCCAGAGCAGGGAAGATTATAGGCAGTATAACTGCACGGTTTTGTCTGATTAGATACTCGATGCGATCATTGTTCCACAATAGCAAAGCCCTCTCCGCCACCTGAAGTGAGTACAAGCATTAGTCTCTAGAATCAATTCAAGGTTCCATAAGCCACAATTCAAAAAGGCATTCTTAGTGTGATTTAGCTGTGTTAAATTAAAGCATACTGAGATATCAAATAGCGCCAGAAATCCCAGTTTTCTATTTAAACGAGACTTTCTCTTAATCACAAAACTATAATGAAATAAATAATGTATCAACATATATCGAATTCAGAAAAGAGTTAGTTTCATCCTCTTATCTCGTTAGGTTGGAAGCTTTCTCTTTTAAGGAAAAACTGTTAAAGAGAGGATGCTACCTCGAAAGCCATTACAGTACAATAACAAGCTCTAGCCCTCCAAAAGGAGAATACACATCCTTTAAACTGCCAAAGATGGAGCCATCAGAACAATGCCGCTCATACTCTTTGCCATACCAACATCAATGACAAATTCCGTATGTTAGAACTTAGAACTGGCAAAGCCAATGTCTAGCTCCATATTTTATTATGCAGTCTCGCAGCTTATGATTTGACGCATGGAACTGATTACCAAGAATAAGCAAGCCGATGCATTTACAGAATCTATACATGCCCTCCTGTGAAGCACCGACACCATTCCTATGGTGAATTTTCGGACTTTGAACACTCTCAGACACGTCTGAATTGTCTTATGGCGTGTCCTAATTTTATGTTTTCTTTTCATAAATTTCCAAAACGTGAGGGACAATTCCTTCACAAGCCTCGAGCATGTGTGAGAATTTCATGTCTAATTTGTTTTATGTCAACTATGTGTTTTCCTTTTGTTGGCACTTCGATCCACAGGTGTACGCTGATACAACAAATGGTCACTCCTCTATTTCAAAAGATTTCACGTGCAAAATTTAAAATAAGAAACGTAAAAAGTATTAATTTTATTGAATAATAATGTGTAAAAATAAAGTTAAAATATATAAATCTATAACAGCCAAGAATTTTAACCGACATGTCATGCCCCGTGTCCTACATCACATATCAGTATCCACACTTCTTGCTCCCTCTCTCCCATTCATCAAAGAATCTATCAAGAACACTGCTTTCCACATCCCTGAGTCTAACATGGCTTAACTTGATGACAAACTTTAACGATAAATCTCTATGTCGTATGGAAATTAAGCTAATTCAGTCGAAAATTAGATATAAGTTTAAAACTCAGAAGGCAGTATGCAGATTGTGAAAGATGGTCAAAATATGGTGGTAAAATACTTGAAACGACAATGGATTATTCAATTATGAATATTTCCACCTCATGGAGAAAAATAAGGCCAACACATTTCCTACGCCAAGTTTAAACAACAAACCATTTACACATAATAAGATTAGAGCTGTAAGATCTTTAAACAAGAAAGGGGCACGGAAATAATATTCCAACCAGATAGTGAAGTTTTAATTTGACACGCCATTTCTATTATCTATGGGAAAGAACACTTCATCTCAACTGAAAGTGAAATAGAAATGCAAATTTCTGAAAATATTCTTGTGGATGTAATGATCCAAAATTTTAAAAAATGAAAGAACAAATTACTAATAAATGTTTATAGAGATGTATAGAATACGAGTCAACACTTGCAAGAAGTCGAATATAAGAAAATACATATATAATAATTATGGCACTTTGACATGGCTCTTGAAAAGTTAAAAAGTGATTTTTACACTTTCGCTTTGGGGCTTGGTTGGAACATGTCCTTGGAATGTAATAGTGCTTGCAACAAATTCAATCAATTAAAGTAGCAGAGTTGTTTTTCTTACCCCGAATACAATAGACCTTAATCCAGAAAGAACAAGCTGGAGTGCAATTCTAAAGATAAACAATATGATCGTATTCGAGGAGGGAATGTGAAGGTCCCTGAATCTGATCAACCTTAATCCAGAAAGAACAAGCTGGAATACAGTTCTAAAGATAATATGATCATATTAGAGGAGGGAGTGTGAAGGTCATTGGCTAAGAGAATAGTGAGGCTGCAAAAAATACTTATAAGTAGACTTTGTTCACCCACCATATCCTACAACCATTCTAATAAATAAAACCAAACTCATGCCATTTGCAAAGGCGCGATGCATATTTCTTAAATAAAATGGTGAATCGTGATATAACTAAAATGAGCACACGAGATCATGTTACGAAAGTCTTGTGAGGAAATATATACTGATAGTTGCAAGTAATCAGCGAAATTTTTTAACAAAAAAGAAGGGTGAAAACAGAGATATAATACCTGAGAGTGCAAACTATTCAAGCAATGAGAAATTTGATGAAACAAAGGCACCATAAATCGTTGGAATTCTGGTGGCCTTGTTGCTTCTAAAACTTCCTCCAGCTCATTAAGGAACAAGACTTCCTTCGAGCTATTAGTAACTGGCCAGTACTTCAACAATCCCCTCGTAACCATATCAGCAAGCTTCCAGTCTTTCTCTAAAAACTGCGCCATACAGTAAGATAGCTGTAGGTGGTACATCGCCAAACATTTCGGTTTGTGCAGGGGTATTAGCGTTCGCTGAAGAAAGAGTTTATGTTCTTTTTTTAGTGGCAAAGAAAATCCATTGATTATGCTCCCGAGAATTTCCAAAAGTTCAGCAATGCCATTATGCTTTTCAGTCTCGAAAATAAACACATAGAATATATTGTTTATAGCGATCCTGATGAAGGGCCGGAGAACCATAAACTTCCCGTAAATGCGGTGTAGTATAGTTTTCAAGTATTCCCTTTCTCTAGGATCTTCAGAGTCAAATAGATCGAGCAATTTGAGAACAAAGGATTTATCAATGTATCCTTTAGCAACTTTTGCATCTGTTTCGGGTGAAACTACCATCAATAGCAGAAATTCATAGACAAGTTGCAAATGAGGCCATGCAGGATCCATTGCAGGCTCATCCTCTTCCAATTCAAGACCATCTAAAATATTGTTCTCCCTCGGCTGAGGAGTGAATTCCCTAAATATATTAATCGATGCCATGTTAATGACTTCTTGAAATTCGAGTTCCGTGAACTTGACATTTGCAGAAGTCACGTACTCCACTAGCTCCAACAATGTCAACCGCTTGATCTCCTTTTCTCTGAGGTTCTTCGCAGGATCAGTGAAGTCATATAGATTACAACAAAATTTCAGCTTTCTAATAAACAAATTTTGCTTCTCAGAAGAAGCGACTTCCCTAAAACTTGGCAAGGATTCGTACAACACAGGAACCGAATTTCCATTTCCTTTTGACTTCTTATCTCGAAAAAACTCATCTTCTGGATTATTCCCATTGCTTACTACAGAATGAGGGGCTGAAATAACTTCATTGACTGCACTACTTAATTTTTTACTTCCTGCTTCACTTCTCTTCGTCGAAGAACTTGAAGAGAGGTCATGGTCTTTACCCGATTTCAAATGTTTAACAGAAATCTTATGCAGTATCTGTTTTAGCATATTTCAATTGGATCACCCAAATTCCACCCACAAATTCACAAAGAATGAAATTGAAGTATACTAATACAGCTACAAACTTGGATGTAAAATGATCAAATATGAGAGAAATTAATTAGACTCACCAAGAAGCTGAATTATGAGAAACCTTGAGAAAACAAACAGGCATCCGTTGTCTTTAACACTTTTCAAAGAAAAAGGACAAAATAATCACTTTTTTCAACAAGAAAACATCATCAATCAAAAAAGTAGTTTATAAAGAGACGGCCCAGATACATAAACCCAATCTGAACCACAAAAATAAAAAAATCCCCCTAATTTCTCAATCCCCTATTAAGTAAATCCTCAACTTGTCAACAAAACCCAGAACCCAGAATTTCAATCTTTTTACTTAAATTGCTAAACCTCCCACTGGCTAAATCACCTAAAGAAAAGACAATAAACAGAAACAAATGTAAATATTCAATCCCAATAAACATACAAAAAAAAAAAAAAATTATAAGCAAAAGTATGTAAGTCCACCACCAAGCACCATACTCTGACAAAAAGAAGCTTTTCTTATGAAAGTGTTCTTTCAGAACATAAAAAAGAGAGGATTGTTGGGAAGTGCTTAGAGAAAAGAGTTGAGAATAGCAATGCAAAGCAGAGATTCTTTGTCCTTGAATGTGCTTTTAGCATTTCCTTTTGCTCTTGTTGTTGTTTGTTGACTTGGAAATTTCTCTTGGACCATTCTCCAATTTCTTGTCCGTTACAGTTTAATAATAATAAATCAATCAGATCCCAGTCATCCAACACATGTTCTAAGCAACTACAGTCAGGTGAAAGTCAAAAGGCGGCCAAGGAGTTTGCGGGGAAATTCAGAAACCAATACCAACGACGTCGTAAAAGGCTTGCACTGGCTGCCCATTTTTCTATACAATTCAAATAAAGAAGGAAAATTGGATTAATATCATTTTATGATAAATATTGCATCAAAATGGTTAGATTTCGGGTTATCAATGGCGAGACTAAACTGACTTGCCAGGAGATTCAGATCAAACCTTTTTTTTTTTTTTTATATCGTTTGTGTTATCTAATAAAATTTTAATGAAATAATTGAAACAACGAAAAGTCGGCACAAATTGAATTGAGTGGATTTTGAGTATGTATTGTTTCAAATTCACACGTTGCAAAGGAAATTTCCAATGTGTGACCAAATTTAGTTGATTACTATGTGACAATTAAAAAAAATATAGAGAAAAGAAAAAATAATCATCCGTGTTCTCATGCGACAAGTATGTTGTTTCATTATAGACAAAAGGTCAAAAAAAGCAAACTTGACTAGCATTACAATGATAATCTTTCCAAATCAAGATTAGTATTTTATAACCTTACACAAGCTCCAAGATTAAGATTGTTAACAACATTTTTAGAAGCATGCCGTGTGGACAGAAACTGTACACATAGAAGCCATACAGAACAAATACAGAAGAGAGTGGGTAGGGAAATTTTTTGGCATTTTTTAATCACAATTTGGGTCCCGCACATGTGAGATTTCTAGTAGAAATCTGTGGAACAGTTTTCTGTACAAATGAAAATCTCCATATTTTTTATGAATGGGACTGAATATAAATACAGAAAGAGTAACAAAGATTTTGTCGGGGGAACGTAAATTGGGTCAAGTCGATTTTTTATCTAACTCAAATTCAATCCAATGTGATTGGTTTGATAGAAAATCGAATCAAATCAACCCAACCCAATTATTGGTTTAAATCCAATTCAACCCCAAATCGATCAAGTTCAGGTCGGATTGGACAATTTGGGCTTGGGTCCAATTTAAGCTGGATTTGATTTTTATTTTATTTTTAATTTAATCTAGACAATTTTATATAGTTTGAAATTATTTGAAAATCTCCATAGTTTTTGACTTATGAGTGTGTTTGATGGGAATTAAAATTAGATTTTTTAATAAAATGTGATAGAAATTTTTGAAATGTGTGATAGAAAATTTGTAAGATTTATGAAAGATGTGGTTAATATTGATTGTTTGATTTTGACTTAAATTAAAATCATATTTTAATCCGTACCAAATGGACTTATATAAGGAACTTTTTTCTGAAATTAATGTATAAATAAGTTTGAAATTACGAAGTGTTTTATTTTTTACAATTTTTTGGGATTCATTCATTTCATAATAATGTCCCTAATTTTTAGTTTATCATCAAATAACTTTGCACTTGTACATCGTATTCATGTCAATTAATCTATGTAAAAAATGTATGTATGTAAATTATTTGCCATTTTCTTGTCTCTACTCTATTTAGGTTTTTCCATGTTAGCTATTAATTTTTTTAATTCATCTGGTTGGATCAGGTTTAAATTCACAACCCGAGACCCAACCTCAAATTTTATTTTTCAACTCAACCCAAACCTATTAAACTTAAAAACCAACCAACCCGATCGATTTGGCTAAGGTTGGTCAGGTTGAGTGGTTTGGATTGAGTTTTACCCAACCCTTTTTGTGTGTTTCTATTGGTTATTTGCATTCGAACATTTTAAATATAACATGCTAAAAATGTGTTAGGTATCTTAGAATAGAATGAATTGGACAGAATTAAAGAAAAAGAAAATTTTTGTGTGTTGTTAAGAGCATATTTGAAAGTATGTGTTGATAGACGGTTTGATTTATAAATGAATGGCGAGTAAAGGGATAATTCTTGTTAGCCAATCAAAATATGTGAAAAATGGTTTGAGTGTTACTAATAGTGTGGGCCACTTTTTTGTTCCACTAGCAAAGAATAAAGTTGTAAGAGCATTTCTAAAAGACTCTTTAAACATGAGATACTCATTATTTTAAAGAGAGAATCCTTAAAATCATGTTCCAAAAGACTCTTTAAATTAAAATTTTAATTTAGAAAGTGAGTCTATAATTAAATGCATTCCAAGCATTTCAATTTTTAATGTAGGAAAATAATATAATGATCTAGAGAAAAGTTGGTTAAAATAAAAGATAAAGAAAAATAATAATTTTTTTGGGAATAATAAAATTAAGTGTTAAATATAAAGAGTCTCTTAGAATACTTTAGAATTTTCGCTATCTAAATTTATAAATGCTCTATAAATTATAGAATATGCTCTTTAAAAATAGAAAATCTCTTGGAGATACTCTAAGCACATCCAACATCAAAAATTAAAAGCAACATGACTATATTTGCAGCAAATTGAAAGTCTGACTCTTGACTTTGTATCATCCAGAGGGAGTCATATTCGATACTCTTGTTAGTGAAAAGCAAGCGCAATAACTTTTTTAGTGAAATGGATTATAGCTCAACCGATACTCCGTATCTATCCGTAATGACATCCCTCTTCCTTAAAGGTTAAACCCTAACCTTAAGGGTCCCCCACCACCCCTGCCCTGGAGTATCGTGAGGAAGGTAAATCGCAGGTTATGCCTCCAAGGGTATAGGGTGGAAGGCTACTTATACACTTGCACTTACCCAAGAGCCAAATCCATATTTCAGGATTCGAACCCTTAACGCAGCAACCTCAAATAAAGCTGGATTTCTCCACCCTCCCCTTTTTACCACTTAGAGATGTACCTTGGGGGCTATGACATCCCTCTTCCTTCCTCGTAGCAACATCCTTGTTCAGCTATAGACAACCCACAAATGAAGGGATTATCACCTCACCCTTTCTGATGACTAATATTGTAAATTAAACATGTTATAAAAGTTTTGAATCATAATCGAATGCTCAGACACATCTTACAATGATTACTATTATTACAAATTGAGTTTACTTGTAAAATAAGTCCATCATTGTAAAATGTTTCTTGTACTAAATGACATGGCATGGAATATTTTCTATCCTTATGCATTTCTCGATTAATAAATTTTCTTAACTTGTCATGATGACAAGATTTTGGCTTTTGCCAAACAAACAGGGCCTGGACGTTCAGGGCCCTATGTGGAGCCCCCCTATTAGGGGGTCGTCTGTCGCCTCAGGGCCCTGTCCTCCAAGAATAGTTCCAAGATTTTAGTGCTAATTCTTTTTGAACTACTACTTTGAATAAATTTAAAAGATGAATTCGAAAGCACAATTAAAAGCATCCATTCTAGAAGTTCCATTTAACTATACAGAAAGGCACGTGGACCTTGTAAAATAAAAATAAAACAAGAAAGCAAAAACACCCCCTAACCATTATCTTAGGAATCCACAAATTTATGGACATCTTCTGATCTTTTCAGAGTTTGGCTCACCAAACACAACATTCTCGTCCAACCCACCCCCAGCTTTCTTGGATCCCTACACAGTTTCATTCTATCATTCAAGAACTAAAACAAGAAGCCATTTTTAAATAATTAGACCAGAAAATGTCCCCAACTATTAGACTACACATCATTAATGCTACACCGTTGCATTCCACAATCTGTTGGGAATTTACTTAAATATGCACAACGGAATTAAACAAATTTCAATTCCTATTCAGGATTCAACTTTGTATTTAGATAAGAACTATGATAAGAAATATACATTTTCTTGATTTTGCAACTTTTCGCGTTATTCCTTTCCAACATCTTGAATCTGCCTCCCACAGCTGTCCAATTGTCCAACCTCCAATGAAATCCACACAGAGAATAGACTGCAACTCCTAGAGTTTTTCCTCTTGTGCCAGCAAAAATAAAGAAAATCTTATGAACCTTAAACCCTAGCCATGTATTTATATAAATCCAAACGGGCTCGGCCCGGTCCGGTTCAATGTTTAATTAATCCATTTAATTAAATCCGGTCCGTGAACTAATTAATCCAATTAATTAATTTATCCAACAATTGTTAAATTAATCGATTGGCAATTTGCAATCTTCCAATTCTCTTTTGTGTGCGACCCATTAGGTTCCCGACCACGATACCTAACGACGTGAAATATTATTTTGATCTAATCAAAACTGATAAATTAAAAGCCTTTTTAATTTATCACAAATTCACACTCGCCCTCCCAAATTGACATTTATCAATGTATCAGGGCAACACATGTGACGGAAAATGTCACGTTGTATGACAAAATCAAAACTGTTCGTTTATCATGAAATTATAATCCCTTCGTCAATATGATCCGATCAATTACGAGATATGGAAGTGTGTCAATCTCGATTATCGATCATATCTTTCATTCTACTATTAAGTCACTATGAGTCGAAAACTCCTTTTCGACTTATATGTATACCTTGGCCAAGGATTTCGTTATTGACTTAATTGAACGAAATGCAGATCACAATCTCTTACTATCTAAGAGTGACGAATCCTCTATTGATCATTCACAACCTTCATATGGTTCTTGATATACCCGAACGATGTCGTATTAGTGGCCCTTGGTAGGCAACATACAACACCGTCAAAGTATGACTGTCCTCATATAAGGCACTATGATGACCTCAAATTGTAGGACCAATTTCACTACCGAACTTTAGAGATTAACCACTGACACTCAGATAGTTATCAATGTGGAATCTCTTAGCGGGTCTCCAATGTTTTGTTCTATAACAAAACATCCACGTGTTCATTTAAGTGTCACCACACATTAGCTCGTGAGATCAGCTACTTACTTCACAAGTAAGAAATGCCACACGTGATGGTCTAACTGTATTAACAATATCCGTATCTCGTTATTACTTATGACCACGGTTTATTCAAGATCCAATTGTATGTAATTTGTATCTCACAATCACAACTCCTTGTGATTAACAAATCACTTAAACTTGGATCTT